CTCTAACGGGTTCTACTCCACCCGATTCTCTACAGTTTCTGCTGCTCTGCCGCCTGCCCAATCACTCTTATGACTTCAATATGGCTCCTCTACCAATAGTTCATCTTCAAATCAGTGCCTTCCAATCTTTCTCACCCACATACTCCCTGAAATCTCCCAATTCAGTGCGTCAGTGCACTCCTTCACGAATACTCATGGGTTTTCAACTTACCGACGATGTCTACTGCGGGACTATGCATGCAAACAACCATTCCCATTCCTCCTCGGGAATCACAGATTCCTCCACAAATATGCAGGTGAGAAAGTGGACGGTACTGGTGTGAAGATGAACCATCGGCGGAGGAGTCATGAAGAAGCCATCCGTATAGAGTGACTTGGGCCGGCGGTAAAGCAGAAACGCGTGGAGAATTTGGTGGAGAGGAACCTGTGAGCAGTGAGTGCATGAAGAGCATGACAAGACCCGTTGTAGTAGTGAACCTGGAAGCATGCTCGTGCAACGACAAGCACTGACGAGGAGTGTTAATGTTGTTCTCATCAAGCTATATAAATATATTTTCAGATGACCTTTGGTAGGGTATGAGCAGCAGCAGCAAGGTCAACAGAGAAAGGCCATAAAAGAAATAAAGTGTGAAAAGTCATTTGTAGGAATTACTTTTCCTTTGGAAGGTCACAAGATTGTGTGGGTGCACCTAAAAACAGAAATTTCTGAAAAATTTCAACAAGGGCTTCCTTCGATACGAGCATTTATCCTCATTCAATAATCATGGAATAAGGGAATTACAGATCTTCGCATCAAATCCTACTACTAGATGAATTCGATTCGATTCATCTCGTTCCGTTGAGCAGCCAGTGAGAGGTCAGCAGTCAGCGCAGCAATTAAGTGAGGTCATGCCGCAGGCAGGCCTCGGGATATGCGCTAGGTGGTGGCTACAGTATACCGTATGCCACTCCAACTAAAGTCCGCCACCCTTTTCTCCAACAACTTCCACCGGTTTCAGGAGCTGAGCGACATAAATGGTAGCGGTGATCGTGTGTTCTTACAGGGCAGCTCGTTCTGCAGCATCCCCCTCGCGTCCCAGAGCAGCACAGGGAACCTTCTAGGAATGCATACCCACTTCGGATTGCCAGGATTTGTCTTCTCCTTTAGTGAGACACACTGTACTTGTGGACTTGAAATCACAGAGGACCCATCTCTCATCTCCACTAACCAGTCTCTCAGAAACACCTTTTGAGGGCGGAGAAGGGGAGACTGACCAAGGGGTACCCGGGTGCGCAGCGTGCCATCGGTCAAGGTATGAGTGATCCATCGAGCCAGTACTTTTCGGTAGTCAAGGGCTTACAGGCGGTTGACGACTGTCAGTTAGGTACATCCGAGTCTTGTCGCAAGACTGCGGGTGGTAACCTCCGGATCCTCCTTGACAGCTTCGAGAATGGTGGAGTCTTCCACTTCGTGGGGCCGTCCCAACCGAGGTTTGCCTTCGAGGTCGTGTCTCCTTTCGCGAAGCGAGCGAACCAAAGATGGACAGTCATGATGGTAGTGGTGTCCTCCGCCAATGCACTGCTGATGTTGCGGACAGCTGCCGCTGCTCCAGTGCCGCGGGGCCACTGATAGAACATGATGACCCGAAGATGCTCCTGTGAAACTGACATCGTAATTAGACCCAGGAAAGTGCAGGCGCCCTCACACAACTCTTGCAGGAAAGCTCCTAGAATGTTCTACAAGCATGGCATGTTACGCCATGTAGCATCAAGAACCGAAAAGTGTAGGCTTTTCAAAAAACACTGACAGGACTTTCCTTCCAACCTAATAAATGATCGCTGATCAAAGATCAATGTGATGAAATCGGAGCTACTACAAAGGAAATATGAAAACACGTCATTTCAAGCGATGGCAAATTTTGAAACATTGGCCCGTAGAAGTAGAAACACCCTTGATATCCTTGATATCTACGCAAAGCTAGAGTCGAAGATTCACTGGAGTCCAGAGAAAAAAAAAATACACTCTGCCGCGAATAAAGATATTTTCGTTGCCAATAATAACCAAGACTATTCAGAAGGAGCCCTGCAGAAGGGGGAAAAAGCGCCATTCAGCCTTCAGACTGCGGGCTAGAACAGCTGATCCCATCGTGACCAGTTTTTGATCAGCGCAGCCATTCGGGGGCGCGTCGATGTTGGCAGGGTACGGTGGATACGTTAAGCCTTTCTGGGATGCATAAAGACCGCTTACTGTCGGGAAAGACACCATGTCGGGCTTTCTCTGCAGCGGGGTCCTTTGGGTACATGGTCTTTTCGTTACACGCCTAGGGCGCGGTATACTTGGGGAACGGCCTATTCTTCTCACATGCCTATGGGATCATTTCCTTTGCCTTCGAAGTTGTAATCAAATTTCTCAGAACCGGTAGCTTGTGCTGCTTTAATCTATTCGCCAAGATAAAGGGTCTTCCACCGTTTGCATGCTAAGTCAAACTCTACTTCAACTTCACAGCCCAGTAAGGTAGCATCAATGAAGTAAGCATGAGTAGACGGATTGTTCTTGAGTAGGTCAGTATTCAATGATAGGGTTTTGGATGAATATCGCTATTCGGTGAGGAGAATGTTCGATTAAAGTCCACGAACAGTTTGATCCCCACCACTCTCACAGAACAAACGGAATGGGACACCAACCCCTTCACTCACGCGAAGCAGTCTGACACTTCTCGAGTCTGGTATTTCTAAGTATGTTAGGGAAGCGAACACTTTTAGCGCATTTCGACTCTCCAAGCTGGACAGGGTTTCTATGGTTGAACTCCTCAAAAATGACCAGCACATCCAAAATTTTTTCGACGACTTTTTCGTTTGAATTTATACCCATAACGCGATTGAACGTGGCCGCAAAGACGACGCAAGTAGAGCTGAGACCTGAGTGTGGCGAAGATGCTTTTATCGTGCGAGAAGTTATCATTAGTAATATTGAGGTACTGGAAACGTTGGTTACAACTATAAGTCGGCCGAGATGGACGAGAGGATTGACATTGGGTGCTGTAAATGCTATCAAGATATCGAACAGAGTGCTCAGGGCAGTCGACTTGCTTCAGATGTTCGTGATTTCGTTTGAAGAGGATTCTACAGTTTTCAGGAGTAACGATCAAAGAAAAGATTCAATGTCCGGAAAAAATGATACAGTAAAAGTAAAAATTCTTCGTGAGTCCGTAAAAATGCTGGCTATTGGCATTCGTTATAAAGCAGTTGATAGAATCAGTCATCGTCGGAGATCATTTAACCTCGTCGTCGGAGATCATTTAACCATCGAGGGAATAATTATGTATCGTCGTCATCCGAGCAGTGATCAGCCGACCCCAGGGGTCGCGACACAACGGCTTACCAGTCGCAAGGCCTTGACTTGGCGCGTCGGCTGCACTACGACTTCCGCTCGGGCCGCGTCAGAACTATTTTCCTCACACCCTAGAACAATAGAATTTATGAGCTCTAATTGAGCTCGCCAACTGACTAGCTTAGTTGTAGATATTCTCTCGCCTATTGTGATTTTTTTTATGAGCACGTGCATCATCAACACAGATGTCTCATATCAGAGTCTGATTGAAGAATCAGTTGTTAATTTTCTTCTGGTATTCAAGAATAAGATGTTTTGTGTTTTACCTGTTAGGTTCCAGTTACGAGTTTCAACTTTAATATCTCCACTACGTGGTAATAATTGGATGATTTAATTATAAGTTCGATATATTTGCAGTTTACAAAAAACCTTTCTCATTTTGAGAGTATACAGCCAAGAAACCTAAAGACCACTAACTTCTAATTGGTTGGTCTATCGGGTCGTAGTTTTTATATGATTCGGTCGGAGAAGAAGGCGAATGTAAACATTTATATTTAGA